TTTCTTTATTTCTTGCAGGAGACATTTCCCTTCTGGATTTCTTTAAATATTCTAAGGCAGGGYCCACATTTTGCATGCATTAAACTAACTTACAGGGCAGTATCTTTGTAACTTTCAGTAAKGTTGGTTTATAAACAGCTCGTTCAAAAAGTTGAAAGCCAAAATTCCCATAGCATCGGGGAACAGTTGCAGAAAAGCTTGTTTTAGGGCAATAATGCTACAATTTCTCTCTCAATGGAAATAAAAAATAGAAATCAAAAACCTTCATGCAGTTGCATCATTAATACAACAAGCTTGTGATTAATTGTCTGTAAACAATCTCTGATGCATGAGATGAGCGTCCAGTCTCACTGTCCAGTTTCTGCACATCAGCGTAGTTTGGAAAAGATTTTAATTAGCTGTAAATGACTTAGAACAAAGAAGTCAGTCATTCAAGCCGTCCCACCTGTTACGCAACCGTGATGTCATGTCAGTGCATTTAGGAAAAACTTGCTCTCGCTCACACGCCTGGCGCTGTTTACTGCAGCAACATGTTCCTGCAGACTGCACTGAACGGATAAGCCAGTCCATGTTTCAGGCTTTACTCTGGCCAGAGAATGGGTGCAGCGACACACCCCGAGTTCCCCCAGTTCACACAAACAAATCACTAACAGATTTTCTCAGAAGTGTCCCAACATCTGTTCTAGCTATTGTTCTGTGCTACTCCATAAACAAAATGCAAATTATTCCAGCTTCCACGGGAAATAAACTCTTTTTTTTGAGCAAAACAGGGATTACTGTTAACACTTTCAGACTCGATAAATTATCCCAGGATGTTAGAAAACAGCAGAGAGAGGAGTCTCCATTGGGGGTCCATATTATGCCAATTATGGAACTCTCTGTGCATTGTTGCCCAAATCAAATTCTGGAAGTGGTCATTCAACTAGATCTGTTACAAAAGGACAACTGATATTACCAYCTTTTAAAAACTGTTACYGCCAGAGGTCTTTCTTCTATGTTTATACTAAAGCATGGAATGACATTCCTCAAAACATAAAGTCCATTTCAAAACTACAGCCCTTTAAGAAGAATCTTGTCTGCCATCTGCTGGACACTTTTTGTTGTGCTTATATTTAGAGGTCCTATTTTGCAAATGCTGCCTTCCTGAAATTTGGTATGCTTGTTTATCTTTGTGTCTATGGTGTAAAATGATGTGATTGTGATGCTGTATTTCTGAGTGTTTTATGTGCTGCAGAACAGGAACCTGCTGTAAAACAGCCATTATGCTGAGTCAGGCTTGATTTTTAGTAATCTTTTCCTGTTAAATCAATAAATCGAATCAATATAACTGCATTATATTTTGTTTTGCTGCGTGCACACAAAGTCTTTATTGAGGATAGGCTCTGTTGGTGAATGGAGCTTCTGTTCAGGTCAGTAAAGCAGCTGACAGCTTCAGAGCGGCTTCAGAAGAGGTCTGCAACAAATTAGACTTTGGTTCAGCGTGAACCTGCGGGTGTGTTTGATCCATCTGATTCTTTGAAACGACCTGGTGGCATAAAGCACGACGACCTCACTGTCTGAGCTGCTCTGTCTCTGGATGACAGACGTTCTCTGAGAATGCCTTTATTCGTCTTCATCAGCGAGCTGAAGCGTATACGAGCCACGGTCAGCGCGGGTCTCAGGGTCTTCATTMAGCAGCCTGCCAGGAGACGCTGCAGAGCTGAAAGAATGTGTGAACACTGCCCGGTTTGTGATTTAAAGGCTGCCCAGGGTTTCGCCCCGACCGACACTATACTATTTATACCATCTGCTGACAGACCTGAGCTCATCTTTTCCTCCTTCGGGATTTATAGGAAGTACAGATGAAAGGGGAAAATGTGTACTTTTGAAGTATGGAGGGCCCTGATGTCGACTTTTTGACCTGTTTTACTATAAAAGATCCAATTAAAAATCTGTATGCAAAGCAAAACTATATAACAAAACAGAAAGTTACCCCATGAATGCCACATTGTGCAGATGTTGCAATAGTTGTGCACTTTGTTTGTCTCTGCTTATACTGTATATTGCTGTTAATCAGGCCGGACTCTCGCAATAACTACAGAACTCTGCAGCTCATTTTTAACACAAACAAAGAGGCATAAACATCTCTCCTCAGTGCTGGTGTGCTTTCATTGGCTGCCTGTTTGTTTTAGAATTGATTTCAAAGTTTTTATTGTRTAACTGTATGGCCCTGAATGGACAGGCTGCTGTATACCCGTCTGCCCTGCAGCCTGGGCCATGGGTCTTCAGGATCTCTTAAAGGGATCCATGATTAGTTGTAACATTAGACTTTATTTGATAAACATATATTTTAACTGTAAAATAAAGGCTGTAAAAATACTGTAGCCTGTTTAGTTTTGTAAATTTTTAAAAATATATTTTAGCATGGATGGCGCCATTTTATTTACACACAAAGCATTCTGGGTAAATGATGACGTGGATAGGTCCTCAGTGTGYGRGAGCTACAGTGTATATCCACCCTGAAGGTTAATCTCGGACAATATCTGACYARTGGCTCTTTAAAAWGAAACCAGAGAGCGTTGACAGAGAGAAGAAGGTAGAAATTACTCAGAACCTCAGCTTAGCCTGTTAGCCTTTGCGCTAGTGCCGACGCTATATGTATTAGCTTGGCACTAGCGCAACAAGCAAACTAAACTGAGGTCCTCCATCCATATTTTCAGTTACAGCTGAGTCATTTTTGCGTTCCCCTCTCTGTCATGTGGATGGAGGACCTCAGTGACGAGAGGAGAATGTGTAGCACTGAGCTAATACATACATATGTGATAGAGTCATGGCTAATACTAAAGCTAACAGGCTAAGCTGAGGTTCTTCTTCCATGAAGCAGCTCTGTTGTCCTCCATCCATATTTTCAGTTACAGGCTGAGTCATTTCTACCTTCTCCTCTCTGTCAACYCTCTCTGGTTTCATTTAAAAGAGTCAATCATCAGATATTGTCCAAGATTAACCTTCAGGGCGGATGTAGCTCGTTAGCAGCCTCGCACCGAGGGCCTATCTTTGTGTGTAAATAAAKTGGCCCCGTCTGTGTAACATATTTTTTAACTTTTAGTTTAAAAATGATAAAAACTGAACATCCTACAGTATTTTTACAGTATTTATTTTACAGGTAAAATATGTGTTTATCAAATAAAGTCCAATACATCTAATCATGGATCCCTTTAAATCCAATGATTGTTTGCTTTTAGTTGTTCTGAGCTCCAGGCTGGTCCACAGAGGAGATCGGGTCTTTAGTACTTAACAGTCACCGCTGAAATTCCTCAAAAGCCTTTTGACTTTTTTTATGTAAGGGTGTCATTCTAAGGTAGTTTTTAGTGGACTTTCAYTGGCATTTTAATGGTTTTATTTCATGTCCTAGTTTTCTTATTTTGTCTTGTCCTATTCTCTTTAGGGGCAGCTGAGGTGAAGTGGTAGGGCAGCCAACTTGGGACCAGAAAGTCACAGGTTCAACTCCCACATGTTGTGGTGTRCTTGAGCAAGACCCCTAATCCCTAACATGCTCACATGGGTGTTTCTCACATGTGATGGGTCAAATGCAGAGCACAAATTTCATCATTGTATAAGAATGCGCATTGATGAGAATACATAGCATATTTTTAAATTGTTTRTATTTATGTTTATTTTTATGGTCTCTTGTGTTTGTCTTTTTCTSTTTTTCCAGTTTTTTAAAATGTGCTATGCAAATYAATTTGATTTGATTTGAAACACGAATACATCTATTTGGTGAGAAAAACAACTAAAATATAAATGAACTGGATGGCTTTAAAATCTGCACAATGTGGTCATGCATGACTTGTGAACTGTCCAGGGTGGACCCAGCCCCTTGCACAGAAACTGCTGGGTYTGGGCACCTGTGACACCCGTGACCCTGAAAGGAAGACSCMGGTTAAGATAATGGATGGATAGTTGGACGGATGACGTTGTCACATCCAAAMTGCAATTATATTCAGTCATAGTGAGATTAATTAAGCTGAAGTAAACAATTGAACAACATTTCACAAATACACAAAACACAGTGAAAACATAATATATCACATGCTTTGAAACTAGGTCATAGATTAACTAGATTTAGACCTTATTGTAAGAAATAACTGAGTGATTTTACAGCCTTATGTTTCTATTACTGACTATTCAAACATTTACATAAAAACACCCAAGCATATATATTGAGGACTAATAGAGATCAGATGTGTTAAATGTATTTTGGTGGTGTATTTATTACAAAACGACAAAAGTATTTTATTTTGTGTCAAGCTGCTTGTWGTGTTCACCTTAAAAACCGGCTACTACTCTAATCTTGATGCCGCATTCAAGTGCTATTGGAAATACCAAACTACGCCRATATTTTCCTCAAAATAGGTGTATAAATAAGTGAAAATGGATTTAGGGAAAAAATTAGCAGGGGAATAGAGCCATGTGTTGAGTAGTTTACGCATTATTATATTATATTTTTTTAATTTGAAGTTATTTAAAATATAAATGTTTGTGTGAAACTTGTTTTTGTGAACTTTTTTCTGTGAACAATCAATGCTCTTTTAAACAATGCTTGCTTGGAATAATGTTTTTTTCATCATAACGCACTGATGTCTTGTGAAAACAGAACTAATCGTGAAAGTCTATATTTTACAGCGCAAGTAACTCAACATTTTCTACAACAAACAGCTCTGTAAGAGATCAAAGTATAATTAGTCACGTGTTTTTAACAAAAATTTGACTTCATCATATTAAAATAACTATAGTAGCTTTTTTATTTATTTTAAAAAAATAATTAAAGTTGTAAATTATATATGCACTGTATTGGTTTAAGTTAATGATACTACTACTGAAAGGCTAGTTTACGAGGTGTCTTTAAAGGCATCAAAATTCCCTGAATTCTGGTTGGCTCGCGGTTTCCACCAGCTGTCTTCTCATTGGCTGCCGCAGCTTCATTGAGTTCCCTCCTCTACCTTTGTCAATTTCTGGAGCTCCGGGTTGAATCGCACGCTTGTTGTTTTCCGGAGCTTGGCGGCGGAGGGAGAAGTTATCATCGACCCGGTGGCAGGAGCTTGTAGCACACGGTGACAGGATATTATCGGATTTTACCACGGGAGTTTCGCACTATGCGTTGAGGACGAGCTATTAAAGTTGACGGAGAAGGGAAAGGAAGGAGTAGCGGCTCGAACGGTGGGACTAATTTAACCGTTTTTTGTTTTTTTTTAAATCACCTTGTGGCGGTGCGACGCTGAGCTCCAGCGGTGCTCTGGAACAAGGGAGTGACACGAACATACAGAGATGGTTTACTACCCTCTGGGACATTTAAAAACACTACTACTTCGAGCTTTTCTCTGCTAAAACCAAACAGATACGCGTTTTCCTTTTTTGTATTTTTTTTTTATTTCTTCATCTTTAGCAGCTAAGGGATTAATTTTATCCACCATGCCGGACCTAATCACAGTTTCGGAGTTTGTGGCAGAGACGAATGAAGATTATAAATCACCGACTGCCTCTAATTTCACCACCAGGATGTCCCACTGCAGGAACACAGTGGCTGCTCTGGAGGAGGTCAGTTATTCTGGTGGGACTTCATTTCCATAAAGATGAGCTGCAGACATCTATTTATCATATGAGGATAACAAGTTATTCCTTACATGACACGTCCCTGATTTTGTGCAATTTGCAACAACCCCCCTCATGCTTCATTTAATAAGGTTTTTGTTGCTGTTTGGGTATATGCTGTGCCATTGAACAGTTTTGGACTGTAATGATTTCTAATCAAAAGGTCTGTATTTAAGCTGTGTGACATTTACCTCTACCCCTGAATCTAGGAGAAGAAAGCTTTCTAGGAGGTGGGATCCCTCCTTCAGGATGGACACATGCAGCTGATGCAGTGAGAGCAGACAAAACCAAGATGCCTAAAGTGATAAGAGGAATCGGCGTGCCCCTGCCCCAGTTTAAAGCAGCTGCACTGCACTCCCTGTGCACACAGAGAGCACTTTGTGTTCCTCCTTTGGCTCGCCGGTCATCTGGAGGAAGGACACTTCCGCTTTGTTCCCTGATTGCCCTCCACTGCCTGCCTCCTGTACAGTTTCCCTACTTTGTGTAGTGCAACTACAGTGCCTCGCCCTGTCTGCTGGTTAAAATAGGATTTCCCTCATGAGTAGTGTTATGTGTGTTAGTGTGTCCCTGCTTTGTAAAGATGCCCGAGGCTGTTGGGTGGCTGACATGCAGGGAAATGAAGATATCTTTTAACTGTGGCGGACAATTTGGCTGTTTTTTTTTATTTAAAGCCGGGCGTGTAGAAGTGAGGTGACTTGATTCACCTTAAACTCCCTGATCCTCCACACCTCTGGGAGGTTTGTGGTTTCATATCTAACCCCGTGCTTGTGGCAGGCAGACTTCCACCTGCTCCCAACAGGTGCTGCTTCACCTGAGCATCAGGCGTGTGGATTCCTTCGAACCCTTTTGTTGCTGCTTTAAAGCGTCCACCGGAAACTAAAACAGCTCTGCACAGAAAGGAATGTGTTTTACTATTTATTTAGTTGGACTAAAGCAAATAAGAGGCATGGATTTTATTCTCTTGAAGCAGCGGTGATTGCTGGCGTGTGTGGTTTTGAGTTGCAGGGTTGCGAATCTTAAATCAGCAGCTTTTGTTTTAGAGCTCTGTTGTTGTTTCACACTGACCTCCCCACATGGAGGGAGCACAAGGCCTTATTGTTGGGACAACTAGACTTTGCAAACTTTTGGTCTGTTTGGCTAATTAAACACAGCGGCGGACGGAGAATGTTTCCACTTATTGTCTGCAGGCCTGCTRGGAATTTCAAACATATTTTAATAGATTTTAGGCGGAATAATTTGCAAATGGGAGTGCATGTGTAAAGTGCTCGCCATTGTACATTAATCAACATGAGTACCTCAATCCATAATGTAAATGTGCCAGATTTGTCCATATTAGAGAGCTGTAATTCCTGGTAGGGAGGTAATAGGTAAAATTAATCTCATTGGTTTTAATTTCTTTATATTTACATCCATTTAGATATTTGATTTAATGAGTTCTGGAGACTTTATWTAGACGTATTATTTGTCTTTCACCTGCTCCTTTAAAACACTTCAACCTGGATCTCTGACTTACAGAACCGGTCAGAAGTACTGAGCATTAAASCTGATTGCTCCTCCACAGTACCCTAATGTTTTTTTTTCCATGTATGACTCTACTTTCAGCATGCATGAGAGGAGATATACACYTGGAAAGCCTTTCAGAAAAATTCATAAACAAATTGAAACCCAAGATTAGAGCCTTGAGGTACACCATCGTTATCAGCCATTTCCAAAACAATAACATCATTTTTTATTATTCAAATGTGATTTTATCTGTTTTATAACAGTAGTTGAAGTATAAAATTTCAACAGCTGAAGGCTTGCTTTAAATCCAAAAAGATGGCACCATTTTAGGCCTATTTGTCACCCTTCAGTTGACGGCTGAGGACAGGCAGAGAAAAACACCCAGTGCTGTCAGCAATGCTAAAGTGACCTGCAGTGTAATTTCAGAGCGTACTTTTTCTTTTACAACTCTACATTTGTGGACTATTGTTGACCTTTTATTTCACACTGTCTACTTTTAGTATTGACAGCCAGCACCGTTAGACTTTAATGGAATATTTCAGCGCTGGGCTGTGAATACATTTGCATGAATTTCAAACATTTCAGGTAAGTGTTGCAGCGGATTCAGGTGCTACTTTCTGTCACTTGCGTTCCTCCGTTGAGACATGTCCTCTGTTTGTGTGCTGGAACTTGTTGACGAGGGAAGGCTTAATCATTAGCGCAGAGGGGTGTGATTATTGGTGTGGAAATCTGCTGTTCCAGATGGTTTGTTTMGGACAAATCTGCCCTTTAATCCTGTTAGCAAGGAGAACAGAGCAGGAACCTAAGTAGGCAAATATCTTTTGGGTGTTGAAGCATTTTGCACACAATCGCACTGGATATTTGCATAGAGTATAAGTAAGATCTATGTTGCTTATTTAGCTGATGGAAAAACTAACTTTTTAGTCAAGTACATAAATAAGACACAATTGTTTTTCTTTAGATCTCTGCACTAAATGAATCACTAAACTTCCTGTCTTTGAGTTTATTGGAAGCCTTTAAACACATACAATAAAAGAGAGAGAAGTGCATCCATCTGAGTTTCAACACTAATGGGTCCACAGTGTTGTGCTGTTATTTTCCTCTAAACTTAATTGCGTCTGACGTGAGCTTAATTGGACTAGTAGTTTTAAACCGCCTGCTATCCGGAGACCGTTCGGGCAGTTTGTGTGCATGTGTGTGCCTGTTAGGTTTTCATTGGCAAAACCACAGCCATAAAAACCTGTTTATCCAGTAAGAGGATATTGAGCTTTGCAATGRGCCCTCCTCGCTTCTTTTGTACTCATGTAAAACAACTTATACTGACTTCCTCTGTGCACACTTCTGTGAAATAAGAGCTTTTATTCAAAACGTTGTAAAGTATTTGAGAAATTTAATTTTAATTGCAGCACACACAGTATTAATTTTCACATTCTTTCCTTTCAGAAAAATAAGTAGCCTCTTATTAGTTGCTAAAGTTTAATGAGTTAAATTACTTTATAGGAGGGTATTGTGTYTTTTTCAYGCACATAGTTCAATTCTGAGCTGAACTTTGTTTTAATTAGTCTTTGTAAAGATGTCTCTGCTTTTGTCTCACCTGAGAAAAAGCTCATGAGGTTGACAGAGAAACTGTGMTGTGGTGGTTTATTTTTAAATCTGTGGCTGCTTCACTCTTTTTATATAAATGAATATATTTTAACCCTGTTACTAAATCCTGCCAGTCACGCTTCTAAAATGTTGCAAGAGTTATCTCGTTAAACCATGTGAATTAACGTCTATGATCAATTCATTTAAAGGACTTGATCTGTACTAGTGATTGTTGTGTTTGCTTTTACAGAGTGATAGAACCAGTAATTAACCAAGTCTGTGTCTCAATTCATGGGCTGCATCCTCATGAGTGCACATTTGTCGGTCGCGTACGTCACTGCCCAGCACCAAGTGCTGTCCCAAATCGAAGGCTCCTCRTCATGCGGACGAGGAATGCGGCCTACAAAATCTCAAAAATCAAGGATGCACCTGAGTGTCCTTCCCGGCTGAGGATATCCCAGGATTCAACGGGCCAACTAGGGATGCACCGATATGAAAATTTCAGCCGATATCGATATCTGCTATAATTATTGTTGTTATGGCCGATAACCGATATTTACCGATATTACACAAACACACATATTATACATATACGCACAAACACACTTGGGTCTTTTTTTGATACAAACGACCAGACCTCTGACATGGCTCCCTYCTTCAGTTATTTCTGGCTACACAGCGTAAATATCACCATCATGATCAAACAGATGCCGCTCAACCAATCGTCTCCCCTCCRAAAACAGAAACAAAAAGCTAAAAAGTGGGAKATCAATATCTGACGTTAATATCGGCCCAGTTTTAAATATCTGACAGATACTGATATTCTAAAAAATTACCAATATCGGCCGATACCGATATTAATGCCGATACATCGTGCATCCTTAGCGCAGACTTCAAACTAGAGAAACGAAGACGGTGGAGTCTTTATTTTTTTTTACCAAGTTGGCATAGTTTGGAAACTCATCACGGACAGAAAAATTTGTTCTTAAATGTACGGTGGCTCAGTTGGTAGAACTCGATGCCTCTCAGCAAGATGGTCGCCGGATCAAATCCTGGCCTGGTTCTTTTTTTAATGTATTTATTTATTTTATTGATTTGTTTTGAATATGTATACCGAATGTCCTTGGCGATATTGTCTTTGTGCCTATTCAAGCCAAACCCAAGCACAAAAAACAATTATACTATGTTAGGTACTTTGTAGTTCTTGAATAAAACTTTATGTTGTAAGTTGGTGAAGGACATTTTAAAGTATTCACGTGTAAAAGTTCATCATTTTTAATCGGACATTCATGATGTTCCTTTGGTTGCTCGCTACGTCTAGGGGGCCAGATAGGGAGTGAACTCGTGACCTCCCTGACACAATATAGGCTCGAATCTGCAGCCTCGTGATTACAAGTCTGCAACATTGATGTTTGAGCTACTGCAGCCCAATAAATRGACGTTCATGATGATAACTTGAAAATGTAGTCGAGATGAAATCTGGTTTAAGAGCTGCTGTACGCTTAAGTTCCTCTCCTCACCCAGCTTTCATCCTCTGCTCAGTTGGCTCCTTTTTCAATAATAAATCACAGGTAATTCTAGCCAAGTCAGTTTTCTTTACTGCTCTACAAGTGTAGTGTCATTATTATTCTTCCATTGGTCCTCATTCATTCATTCATCCATTCATTCATTCATTCATTCAGTTCGGGTGGAAATTGCGCCATGGGAGGGAGGTGGAGAAGAAATATTTGAAAAATACTCTTGTAAAGCTGCTTTAGATCAGTGATCAMTATTCAGTGACAAAAAAGTATCAGTCCAAGACAAATTAAATCTACCTTAAACATGATTCTAAACAATTTTTAGACTAATCTAAATTTGAT